ATTCACTCTAATTTAAGGTTTCGCGTGCCAGTAAAACATTTTAATATTTGTAGAAGGTCTCTTTCTATAAGTCTATAATATATAACTAAACTATCATTGTATGTAAAGTAAATAAGGTTTTAAAAATTTAAGAAGCTTTATTTAAAATTAAATTAAAATGCAGAGCCCCCTGGACCGGTGGCCAGGACCCGGGCACTGTGAGTGCCACTGAAAATCAGTTTGTGTGTCGCCTTCGACAGGCATGCCATAGGTTGCCTACCCCTGATCTAAGGTGTTACTTGTAACACAAGTAAAGAAATGTGTTTGTTCACAATTTATTTTAAGTTGACAGTGTTTGTTTTAATATGAGATGTTAATTCAACAATATAATTCATTGATTAGGGGGTTGGACTAGATGATCTCCTGAGGTCCTTTCCAACCCTGATATTCTATGATTGATCATAGAATAAAAGCACTAGCTCCCAGTAAACTTAGTTTTAAATTAAGTGACTGCAACTAAAAAATATCTAATCATGAGTCTGACACTTCTTTTCTTGCTGAAAGGACAGGTCTCATGACAGTCTAGCACTGATTGAATGAAAACACATCTGTTGATATCAGCAGACTCAGAATAACTGTTGTGAAAAATGTACTCTGTATTAATCTATGTCACCTGCTATAACCATCCTAGTATGATAGTGTTAAAAGGTCTTAAATGAATGTAAACAAAACAATACTCAAGTATCAGAGGGGTAGCCGTGTTAGTCTGTATCCACAAAAACAACAAGGAGTCCGGAGGCACCTTAAAGACTAACAGATTTATTTGGGCATAAGCTTTCGTGGGTAAAAAATCACTTCTTCAGCTGCATCAAATAATACTGTGGCTATCAGATTGAGGCCTTGAATGACATTCTGCTTTACACTACTTAGATATTTTTAGCCTATATTCTGTATTTCCTGATAGTTAATAAAATATTTTAGTATGTAAATACAAAACCTTGAACACAATAAACACAACTGAAAATGCTAATAGATTTTGCGGGCTATTGTGGAGAAAAGTTTACTAAATCTCTTTTTTCATCACAGAAATTCCTGGAGATTTTGGTATTTATTAGGAGAAATATTGCTAGCAATATGAGAGAGGCTATTCTCATGATGAAATAAAAGGACTAAGTTGTCCCTTATTCATCTCGATAGGTTGCCATTTTGCCCTAAGTCACTAGCTCAGGCAACCCTGTGTCCTGTTAGCTAGCCATGAGTAATTCAGTATATGATAGGCAAATTAAGGCAATTAGTGCACAGTGGCTGGCACAATTTAAGCTACCTACACACCGATGATTCCACACTAGTTAACACACAGAAAAAAAAGTTCTAGAGGTCATGGCTACTACAATGAAGACACACAAATTCACAGCAATGGTTGAAAAAGCAAACTAGATGATAGGATGTATTGTGAAGGAGATAGAGCTTAATATGGTCCATATTATGCTGCCATTATATTAATCAATGGTTCAGCCTCATCCTCTCACCTTGATTACCCAAGTTCACTTTCAGTCAGGTTTCTTTAAGAAAGAAAGCAGTAATACACAATGTGCAGAGAAAGGAAAGAAAAGTGATTAGTGTCAGTAGGCCAGATCTTTCAGCTGCACTGTTGGTTGGATTAGGCCTTAACTTGGCCTAAACAGCTCAGGGAATATCACCTCAGTTGAAGGGTATAAAGATTATGTAACATAAGTTTAGATCTCCCATTCCTATACATTCCAACACATTTTCATTTTTGCTCAATATGGGCACAAAGATGGTACAGAAGTTCTTGTATAAACTGGTTTGATCTAGACTTAATTATGAGTGGCTGATAAGGATTCCAACCAGTTGGCCTGATTCTCCTCTTACTTTTGATAGTTTTATATTCCATTGACTGCAGTGGAGTTACTCCTGATTACACCAGTGTAAGAGGAGAATCAGGTCCAATACATATTTGTCACTTTGGTAGCTGAGATTGGAACCTATTAATTACCTGAGTAACAAAAGAACAAACAAGGAACAGAACTATCAGGATGCTAGGGCCTGATCCTACTCCCCCGGCAGTCAACTGGGACCCGACTGCGCAGTTGTTTTCACAAGCAGTCCTATTGAAGTCTGGATGGCTTTTGCCAGTAACTGTTCAGCAGTGGGAACAAGAGGTTCACACTCTGGCCCTTGGAGTTTTTTCACTCATGTCTATAGGAAGAAGATCAAGCCTTTACTGGATAACTGCTCCCTCCTAGTGTCAACCTTCTCCTTCTTCCTCCCTTCCCTTCTCTTGTCTGTTTATGACCCTCACTTGTCTCATGTTACCTTTATTTCAATGGGAAGGACAATGTCTTAATTTGTTTTGGGAGACACCGAGCACATTCCTATGCACTACAGAAATATAACATTGTAATAAGAATAGTATTCTCCCCCTTATGATGTTCCCAAAGGAAAGGAAAAATAGGGAAAAGCTTGTTCAGACTTTCCTGGACAATTTGTTTTTCTAACTGGACACTTATGAAGAATTTGCTTTGTGGTTCACTGAAGCACAGAACAATTGCATCCTCTGAGCCAATCAGAATGTGGCTTTCTAACAGTGATACAGTGAGCAGCTGTCATTCCACTATACTCACTGCCAGAGTTAGCTAGTTTTGAATTGAGTGGTTAGATCTCTAGCCCCTTTGTCTAGCTCAATCGTACCGAATCATTTTAGAAGAAAATAAATAGTCACTGGAATAGATGATTGTGGCTGGAGTGGTATGGAAATATGTTCAGCAAAATAAAGAACTATGGGAGATTCATAGTATTTTGTTCACCCAAAAAAGTACCTGTTTTCATAGAATGTGTCACTAAGGTACATGCAATTTTCAAACAAAACTGGAAACAAAAAAACACCTACATGATAATGGGTCCATTTTCCAAGCAAATCTGATTTTCACAGAGGAAACATTCTTGGGTTTGTGTTGTGCTATGAAGAAAATAGCCATTTAATTGAAACCATAAATAAAGCAAAATTTAAAGTCTGAAATCAGGAAATCTGACCTAAATGTTAATTCTGAAAAATAGAAGCTAATGGTGTTTTTGTCACCAGCTGTGATATAAATGATGAGCCGTGTCTACACAGTGTTTATAATACAGCGAAGAGCTTTAATCTGGTTTAGGGTTCTATAAGTTAACATTTTGGGCTTGAATTGGTTCTCAATAAAATTCTAAGGGACTGTTAGGATGGATTTTAGTGGGACCAGGATTGGGCCTTATTCCATTCAAAAGGTCAGCTCATGCACCCTGGATCTGAACATGGATGGAACCCTCTGTGCCTGGATCTCCCTGCTCCCAGGTGGAATGGGTTTTTGCTGGGAGAGGGAGCCACCTCTACCGAAACATCCTTTTTCCCTGCAGGGCCTTGCAGAGTGTGTTTCAAATGGTGGTGTCTGTGGGAGGGGAGAGGCATGGGAAGGTTGGCAGAGGGTGGCAAACTACACATTGGGTGGGACAGAGCCAATGGGTTACACAGTTTCCCTTCTCTTCCCTGTGGAAGTTATCTGGGAAAGGTAATAGAGCCTGGGCCTGTATTATCTTTCCCACAGAGCCACTTCCTCAGTGGTCATGAGGACAGCCGTGGCTAGCAGAGCCCATGGAGTGTGTCTGGCCTTGAACCATGCTATCAGGAATTGGGCAGGCAGACAGTGGGGGCTCCAAAGCTGATGCAGGCGCACAGTGCGTCTCAGTGCGATGGCTCTGACCCTCTGCAGATCAAAGGTTTGTGATAGGGCCCCAGAACTCAGTATGTGGGACTGGGGTGAACCCTGCCCTCCTGACTGAATGGTGTTGGAGCTGCTCTGTGAGGAAAGCCTCCAGGAGGTGAGTGATCCAGCTCGGCGTACACTGCAGCGCATTTGAAGTTGAAGCAGTGGATAATTCCAAAATATTGGCTTTAGAGAAAGGCTTTTTCCTGCTTGTTTTGTTTTTATTTGAAGTCTCCAAGCCTCCAAAGATCAAACGAAAGCTGTGCTCTTGTGAAATGCTTCTTCCCAAACTACAGTGGTTTCAGACGATTCCACTATTGATTCAGTTCAGCTCTGGTGGAAGAGGCCACGTTCAGAAAAGCCGCTCACTGCTTCTACCAGCACTTGACTTCTGCAGGTTTCTTCAGTCCCCAGGCCTGTAATGTGTTTATTTTCAGTTCGAGTTAAATAATCATAAAATAATAATAAAAAAATCTTCAAGAATAGGCGTCTGTATTCCAGCTAAATTAATACAACAGCTCTACCTTAAAAAGCATTCTAAAAGAGCCTCACCACTCTTTCCTCCTTTCATCTTTTCAGTCCAACCTGTCTTCCTTACATCTCAGCTGTGAGAGGCACAACATGCTGCTCTCTGAGGAAAGAGAATCTCAGCTACAGGGAAGAGTTAGCTGCTAAATCAAACACATACATCTGAAAAGAAGCGACTCTGTACTTTTTTGGAGTAAATAACAGTGATCGTGGTTATCTTCTGAATTACAATTGGAAACTGTGTCCCCAGCCAATATAGCAGCTACAAAGATTCTAGAAAATACCACTAGCTATCTTGGAACTTCACTTTCCTAAAAATCTGGGGTTAGATTTACATGCCCCTTGGTCTCTATTATACATGCATAGAGGAGTCCTCTGTGACACATTTCCTTTCTTGGGGCTGGCAGAGCCCTTTCTGCATGCTGGGGGATCAGTGTGGAAACAGAGTCATGCAGGAGGATGAACGGATAGTAGGAATACCCATCATCCCCCCCACCCTGGCCTCACAGACGTTACATGGAAATGATGATATGATCCTAGGCTCCACCACTTTTTCTGTGGAGCTCCAGTCTAGGGATGCAATGGAGTTGGGTTGCTGGGGAGTTGGGTGCCAGGGCAGAGATACAGAAGCTCAATGTAAAATGGCAAAGTTTTTTAATGGTTTTCTACACACAATGGAGTCTCTGTGAGAGAATCATTATAGAGATTTCCATGCAAAAAGCCCCCTTGGGTGGGTTTTACTTTGAGTGGGGAGAATCTACCCTCTATATTTTGTTATTATGCCAAAGAAAAGATAAGAAATGTAATTCTTCTATGAAGTTTAATTATTTAACAGATCACTCTTTCATGTTACTTTCCTTCTACTATGATGTTCTTTTCTGTTTAAAATACATGTGATTTGCATTCATTTAAAATCCTATTTTAAAAACAAACTGTCAAAAAGAGTGTGCTATTGCAGCAACGTGCACAGACTGGTTCAGTAGTGCTGCAAGACTACTTTTTGTCTCATGCTTAACAAATGAAGATATGTCACTATGAACTCACCCTCTGGCACCGTTTCTGATATCACAGAGGACTTATGCTGCTATTAAAGGAGCTATCCCTGATTTACCATCCTCTAAGTGAGAGCAGAAAGAGGCCCCCTGTCTGTTGTGTTATTGCATGTATAGGAGGTGATCTAAAATGAAATGCAAGATAGGGAAATATCTGCACGACAGGCCTTAGGTGCTTTGTTGCCCATGGCAGAAAACGTTTTTCGGTGGCCCCTCCTGCACCAACCCAAAATGCACAAGCAAAACACAACAACTAGAAAAAACTAACACACCAGGGATTTGGCACCCCTGAATGTGATCATTTGGCACCCCTAAATGTTGGCAGTCAGGGTGGCTGCACCAATTGCCCACTCCAAAGGCTGGCCCTGAATATATGCTCTAAAAAAAGTGGTGATAAGATATGCAGAGATTAGCTTTCAAAACCATATGCGCACACTTTCTTCTTTTGCCCACACAGCTACATATTCGACATGTGCAATTATTTTTCTGCAGTTACAATGTAGGCACTTATTTTAAAAATAATTGGCTCAAAATACCATATTCATGTTATACCAACAATTTAAAAAATACAGACATTGGCTAATCTGCATTTTCTTCCCCAGTTATGTTCAGTTTTTAATCTATTGATTTAATTTTTCAAAAGAAGTTTCTAAAATTGCATGGAGAAGTATGAATGTCCAAATATTTGGCGAGCACTTTTTCAAGAGCAAGCTGTAGTTTGAGCTAGAACTCTTTGGGACATTATGCACACAATTGAATAGTTTGACATCTATTGTAATTGCTAATCATTTTGCCCAGGCAAATGCAGTTTTTGTGTACAAATTAATTTATCCACTCACAATTACTTGATTATGAGAATTGATATGCTCAGATATTTAGGCATTGAAAACCACACATTCAACTATAGTTAAGATTAGATCATTGGCCCCACAGTGAACAAAATATCTAAAATATTCTGCATGTAATTTCTTTACTTTTTCAGATAGAAGAGTTTCGAAGACTGAGGACACACGTTAAAGGTGCAGAACTTTTAGAAGGCTGTGATGGGATGTTAGGAGATAACTTTAGACCAACTCAGCCACTTAGCGACAGAGTCATCAGGGCTGCATTCCAGTAGCAAAAGAAGAAACAACAATGAAAACAAAGCTTTATTCAGGTAAGGGAAAGTTCAGCAGAAAAACAAAAGTGGAAAGTAAGTCTATTCAAACAATTTTCATGATAGAGATTGTGTTTTAGGAGACAATGCTTTTAGACAAATGTTCTGGGTAACCCATGTACTTTGAGCCTTGCATTATTTGAATTTTTCATCTGATACCACAATATGTTTTGCCTTTATCTGCACTCCCAAACACCTTGTAATAATTAGGTTCAATATAGCCTCTGTCCAATACTTAGTAAAGTCAGTTGGAGTCTTTTCATTGATTTCAGTGAACATTGGATTGGGCCCTGTTAGAGCAATTTGGTTTCCTGTGACAAGAAGTGTGCTAAACCTGAGGACAAGTGAGATTTGCCTAGTTGGATGCACGGGTTGATTTTTACATTTTGTATTTTTAGGACTCCAGTCACCAATGAGTCGTTTTAGTGTTACAGAGCTCCACTCCTTGAGACTGATAAAGATGGAAGAAAATGACCTCGTCTCAAAGGAGGATTGTTTCATTTGGATCTCCTCTGTCCTCTGTTAAAATGTTACTCTTTTACTCCAAATGCTGCATGTTTAGTTAGGCACAGCCAATGCATGCAGAAGAGGATGCTGAATATTTGGCCTTTTCATGGCTAATGTTAATCTGTTGTTCCATTAATTAGAGTAGTTATGATTGTTTCTTGCCTCAGTAATGTTTTTAGCTTCCACGGGCTTGAAGAACAAGAAGTAAAAGATGACTTTGGGTCCCGTGCATAGGTGCAAATACACATTTGAACCTTCACTACTCACACGTCAGTTAATCAAAACTCCCACAGTCTATTTCCCCTGACCTTACATTTAAAAATCCCTCAATATTCCAGCATAATTCACCAACCCTCATTACACTTAGATAACCAGTGTACTACACAGCAGCCTGGTGATGGGATATACTAACACTGAATAAAAGAGAACTTACTATGCAGACAATAGGATCAGCCCCAACTTGGTAACCAACATTATTATTTAACAGCCCTCCAACATTGTCAAGAAAATGGACCATTCCAGATGCACAAGCTACTCACTTGCTCTCTGTAATGCCTGATGATGCAAAATAAGTAGACATATCTCCATAGCTACAATGATCAACACACTCCCCCCACAACATACATTTCAGGATCCATAGGTCTTACACATACCTGTCACAATAATGTGATGTACCTCATCCAGTGGGTGAAATGAGACAATCATTATGTTTCTTGAATTAACTCTCAGAAAAATGATAAAAGACAAAAACATCATATCATCCATGGCCAAACACTTTTCACAAAGTGATCACTCCATCTCTGACCTCTCAGGCCACAAAGCAAACCTGAACAATACTTTCAAAAGGTGAGTCTGGGAGCTTAAATTCATAACTTTGCTAGACACTAAAAATCATGGACTCAGTAAAAACATCAGGTTTATGGCTCATTACAACAATCGGTAACTCACTAACCCTCCTTTGTTCTATGACCGCAGAGGTGTTAACTGCCCACTTCACCTTGAATGGTCTCTGGCAACTTGTGTTAACTCCTTATGCTTAATAATTTGTATTTAGCTGTGACACTCTGAGTAACTTTACCATACCTGAAGCAGAGCTCTGTGTAAACTCAAAAGCTTGTCTCTCTCAACAACAGAAGTTGGTCAATAAAAGATATTACCTCGCCCACATTGCCTCTCTAATATCCTGGGACCAACACAGCTACAACAACACTGCAAACAAAAGAGAAAAACTAATAACATTCTGCTCAACCACAAGAAAAGTTCTCACCCTGGGCAAATGGATGAGTAGAACATCTATAAAACTTCTCTAGCCCTGGAGTGTCTGAGTTTTGTACCAAAATACAAGAGCAATTAGGCCACAGTTATCCAATAAACTGCTCAGCTCTGCAGGAAGAATCCAAATACATAAAAGCAACAATTTCCGTAGCCCCAGGAACCACTGGTTAAAAAGAAAACAAGCACATATTGAACCTCACTTGGAAGAATGCCACCATTTGGTTTGTTATACGTAGAGGGGAGAGTACTTCAGAATCCTGCTGGAGTGTGAAATCTTAGCCTGATTAATTCAATGGCAAAACTCCCACTTGACTTCAGTGGGACCAGGATTTTATCCCTCATCTTTATGAGATTATATTTTGAGCTCCAGCTCCGAATCTTGATTGGCATAACAAGTGATCAGGCAGAAGATGGCCCCTCAGGTAGATTGGTAACTTGAAACGATCAGAAAATGTAGACATTAAAACCAATGGGTTATAAATGGTCTCTCTTAGTGTAGTAATCCTTTATATAGAGATATATGAATGACAGAAACTGTTAAACAGGCTAATGCAGAGGCCTAGCATTCTGGTGGAGGGCTTTAATCAATCCTTAAAAACATTTTCTAGGTAAGTACTTACCATGTATTTCATATCTGTGTCATGTACCGGCTGCACAGATTTTAACAGTGAAAATGAAATACTGGTCTCTCTGTCAGCATTGCTTCCACACTCCTATATTTAATTTTTGGACACATCCCTAAGCCCACTGAAACCTCAATTACATGGGCCTCTGCAGTCACAAAATGTCATCACTTTAATCTTGAAATGGGTGATTCAAATCAACTTGTCTCCTGCAGAAAAATTACTTAGGAAAATCACAGCAATATTTAACTACATTTTTTTCCTCTGTGAGTGAATAATGCCCTAAGGCCATTGCAGGTAATTCAGGTCTCCGAAACAGTGAAATTACTTTACATGCTGACTTTGAATTTTAAGCATGAAAGAGTTTCTTTTATAACTGTTGGAATTGAAATGTGAAAACATCCCCCTTTGCTTTTATGTTTGAAATTTTATTACATTTGTCAACACCTACAAATAATGGTTTTAAATAATCAGATTTGCCTTGGCCTTGCTTCACAAAATAACTTGCAGTTTCAATTTCCAAATGATGGATTTTTATATGTAAAATGCTAGTATTCGCTGTCGGGCTATGCTAGTTAAGGACTCTACAGTACTGAGAAAGATCTGTGGCTCTGGGCATTTTATAAGTCTACAGAAGACATGCATCTCGACTCTACACCTGATTGAATTATTTATCAGAAACTCACTTTGCCAAGGGCAGTCTTCTTTTTAGTTTTGGATGCATTAGTCCAGATAGCATCAAGCTAATCAAGGGGGAAGAGTATATCCTCACTGCTGAGTTTGTCTCTGAGGAACTCAGAGTATGATTTATGAAGGCTAAAAACTGCCCCTTCACAGTCCAGCCTTGATCACCCCTGTCTAGAGAAAAGAGATTCTTGTCTTCTTCCCCGATCTCACTTCTATGTTCACTTTCTAGAGTGTTCCTGGCACTGTCCTCACTGGTGGGAGGGGTTGAGGGACTGTAGCATCAGGGATGCATGGGGAAGGCACCTACCCTACTATGTAGAGCAATCACATCAGGATGGCTAATGCTCTGCATTTTCTTCTCCTCAATGACAGAGTAGCATCAATAAGAACTGTGTTGACACTGGCTGGATCCTACTGTGAATTTTATTAAAGCTAGTCGGAAAATGGATTTTCTGTCCCATGAAAAATTTGGAGATTTGGGAAAAAAAGCATCCAAAATAGGGATGAAAAGACAAAAATGCCAAAACAATTTTTTTTCTTTTCAGGTTAATCAAAATGTTTCATTGTGATTTTTACCCTATTTATACAAAATAAAGTACATTGCTAAACAAAAAGACATTTTGAAATAAATGTGGGCAATGAAAATGTTCATTCTGAAAACATCAAAACAGGATGTTTTAACCTTTTCAAAACAGTTTTTCTCCGAAACCATTTTTGTCAAAATCTAAACAATTTGGCAAAAAAATTCAGTTTTGCTTACACAGCATTTTCCAACAGAAAAATGTTTTCCCAAAAGCTTTGGACCAGCTCTACTTAATAGCAGCTGTGGAATTCAGAGCTCCCACCGGAAAAGAACAGTGAATGATGCCAGTGATAGCACCATCTCTTGTATTGCACATCTCTTTGACCCAGCTCTCCCCCCCGTAATTCACAGAGTGGCATCTACATAATGGCCAGGGAGGGACTGCTCCCTCCCTTCGCAGGGAAGGTTACTTTTTGGAGGGTCACTTCCACTCATATATATTTCTGGTTTTATTGTTCCTTAGCTATTATATCTATAAAGGCTGGCAGACTCTGTACACACAGAGTTATCAGTATTCCTATGAGTAGGTGAGCTGACCATTTTCTCCCATTATTTAAGTTAGCAGGGTTTGGCAGCAGGCTTGCTGCCATTGAGTATGGAGGCCCCCTCCAGTAACATCAGAGTTCCCCCCGAGTTCACCAGTCTATCGGGGGAGGAGGAACCAAATGATTCAGATGAATGTATTGTGTAGTGAGGAAGAGAAGTGGGTGCTTGAAAGGTTTCATTGTTTCCTAGTGAATCAGGATGTGGGCTCTGTGTATGCCACATTCATAAATTTGCAGAACATCTGCTCCTCAACATTGACTGAAATCTTTACAGAGCTGAGCAAAGATCTAGGCGATTATCATCAAATGATGTGTTATACATTGATGGCAATATATGGTAGTGGATTTAATGAGCTACAAAACTTAAAGGAAGAGATGACATAGAGAACATATTTCTTGGTAGGGGTTTTTCATTCAAATTTTAAACAAATGAGTCATTTATTTTGCAGTTGCCTTCTACTCTCAACAATCCACTAGCAGCTCTATAAAGTGAAAATTACCCAGGTAGTGTTATCCCTCAGTGCTAGTAGTCTGACATCTCAACTTCTCAGTTAACACCAGTACCTGATAGTGTTAATATCTGAGATCGGGGTTTATTATATGATGTTGCTGAAGCTGGGTCCCCTCTTCTGAACTACTATTACCCATGAGAAAAGATGTTGCCGCAGGGGGTTTCAAATAATTGAGGTGAAGCCATATTGTCAGCATGACCATAGCAGAGCCAGATCCCTTACACAATAGTACCTGCCTCTCCTAGAGCTGGTGGTGACAGGTAGCCCCTCTCCCCCACCACACACACATATCCCAGAAGACTTGTTTCCATTTCCAGTCTCTCTCAGACCACACCCACCACCTGCCACACAACTAGTGCAGAAAAAGCTTATTGCAGTATATTTGTCCTACGACATGCAGGACTTAAAAAAAAATCCACAGATTCCAATAAAACTTTTATTTAAAAAATCATTTTGGGGCAAATACCACACAAGCAGTTTTCAGCTCAATAGCAATTCATTTCAGGAAGTTCTGAGCAACTGAAAACAGGAGCAGTGTTGTGAACCTTTATGCCCGATATCGCAAATCTTTCAATATACGGTGTTTTTCCAAGAGCCTCCTCTAATGGAATGCAATTGTTACCCAATAATCTCAGCTGTCTTTAGAAAAAAGTATGTTACCAGTTTCCATAGGTGCTGAGAAAAGCTACAAACTGTGAACCCTAAATGCTGCAACACTAGAAGGCAAATAAAAAAACTCTCATATTTATTATTTTTTAAAACACATGAGTTTATAATGTCATTTGGGGCCTGACTCACAATTTTTGAATGTGTGAGTCTTACACACAAATGATCTAACACAGAAATGGGCTAATATTTATCTAATGTGCAGATAGGCGTTTTTTCAATCATGTATTTTTGACTGGCGATTGCATTGTATATAATTTCCTAT